CGTGAAACGGAGCAATTTTTTTTATATAGCATTTTTTCGAAAACTCAAGTCGAATTAACTTAAATAATAACAACACTACAACAATAAAGAAGGTACCCTAGCAACCATTTGAACACTGACAATAATTTTTATGTCAAGTGTATGCCGATGAAATTCCGTACGCCATGAGGGAACAGCATTTTCAATTTCTCTGTAAAGTATAAAGGCACTTTGGTAAAAGGATTGTCCTTTACATAAAGATATTCCTATTCTCTGAAACGTAAATGACCCTTATAGATCCGTTGCATAAAGGTGAAGTCCTTTATAGTTTCCCTTGTGCAACGTATGATCATATGTGTCACTTTATGCAAGTTATCTGTCAGTTTGATTCGTTTTAATAGTGACCGTTTCTAAATAAAAGGGAAGAAATGGAGAATCTGTGATTTTTTATCCTAGAGGAATTACAATAAAGGTATATATGAGTCAGAACAATGATGTCTTTGTCCAGTTTTATAGTTTCATGGCTTAAATTTGTTAATATTAGCAAAAAGCACTAAAAATCGTCATATTGAAGTTAATTAAGCCCAATTTGGTGGAAATACAAATACTTTTACGATGCTCCAAATAGACTGGTAACTAATAAACAACTTTGCAAAAACAACTCCTGTGGAGGAGCCTTTACTAATAAAAGACCAAAAAATCCATTAAAGGCCAGACTCTCCTAACCAGTTGCCACCCCAGTGTGTTGGTACATAAGGGACCAGTGCTGATATCTCCAAAAATGTACATGATTTCATAAAATGTTTAGTTTTTTTTTAAGTTTTTTAAATGTGTTACCATCATCACGAACCAACCTACGAGCAGATAAATAATACTTTTACTGTATGTCAGGCACAAAGACCACGACAAGAATTTCATATCTCATAAATTAACAAAAGTTAAGTTTAAAAATCTCCCCAGCCCGTCACACCAACCATACCGATATTGTGAAAATTTGAGGTTATGTACAATAGATTCCGTCTCTCTTGACACAATGATAAACGCAAGCGTTCCTTTTCTAAAAGCGTATACTATCGTAGTAAAAACATCCGTTCGTTCCTTTACATAAAGTCGAACTGACGCACAAGTTTCTCCCCAACGGATGCAATAGAGGATAAGATATTAAAGGATTCACTTTCACATTTCCTTTAGGCTAATGCCTTTAACAAACGGATCCCTTATTAAAAGGTTAAGTTACAGAATTCGGGCCTAAGGGCCGAATTCTGAAAAGTATAAAGGCACTTTGGTAAAAGGATTGTCCTTTACATAAAGATATTCCTAATATTCTCTAAAACGTAAAGGATCCTTATATATCCGTTGCATAAAGGTGAAGTCCTTTATAGTTTTCCTTGTGCAACGTATGGTCATATGTGTCACTTTATGCAAATTATCTATCAGTTTCATTAGTTTTATATAGTGACCGTTTCTAAATAAAAGGGAAGAAATGGAGAATCTGTGATTATTTATCCTAGAGGAACTACAATAAAGGTATATATGAGTCAGAACAATGATGTCTTTGTCCAGTTTTATAGTTTCATGGTTTAAATTTGTTAATATTAGCAAAAAGCACTAAAAATCGTCATATTAAAGTTAATTAAGCCCAATTTGGTGGAAATACAAATACTTTTACGATGCTCCAAATAGACTGGTAACCAATAAACAACTTTGCAAAAACAACTCTTTTGGAGGGGTCTTCACTTATAAAAGACCAAAAGATCCATTAAAGGCCAAACTCCCCTGACTACACTGACATAAGGGGCCAGTGCTGATATCTCCAAAAATGTGCATGATTTCATAAAATGTTTAATTTTTTTAAGTTTTTAATGTTACCATCATCACGAACCATCCTACGAGCAAATAAATACTCGTAATATTTTTACTATATGTCAGGCACAAAGACCACGACAAAAATTTCATATCTCATAAATTAATAAAAGTTAAGTTTAAAAATTTCCCAAGTCCGTCACACCAACCATACCGATATTGTCAAAATTTGAGGTTATGTACAATATATTCCGTCTCTCTTGACACAATGGTAAACACTAGCGTTCCTTTTCTAAAAGCATATACTATCGTAGTAAAAACATCCGTCCGTTCCTTTACATAAAGTCGAACTAACGCACAAGTTTCTCCTCAACGGATGCAATAGAGAATAAGGTTTTAAAGGATTCACTTTCACATTTCCTTTACGATAAAGCCTTTAACAAACGGATCCCTTATTAAAAGGTTAAGATACAGAATTCGGCCCTAAATGTTTGTCAAGATTAGGAAAATACGTATCCTAGTAACTGTTTTTGACCATAAATTATTAATTATAATAATTATTATTAGTGTCCATGGGTGACTGAGGATCTATGGGCGTGTAACCCTAATTGGGATAAAACTTTAACAATTTTTAACTTGATAATTAAAAAGTTCCTGACAAAACGCTATTAAAAAAAGTTGTTGAGTTTGATGAGTTCTATGACTGACTAAAATTAATGTACTTATTTCTGAGGCACCCTGTATATTAGATAGAGATTTTCATAACTGTAGGTGTACCTAAGTGAAATTTATTATTAATGGCATAGGGGAATGTGGAATAATCTAAAGAATAAGGAATTAAATGCTGGGCATATTTATGGGGTGCAAAGAAAATAAGGTATGATGGCATCGGGAGTGGTAGGTCGTTTTCTGTAAATATTTTAAGAAACATGAATGACTGGACAAGTTTTTTGTAATCCGTAAGTCTAAAAAATGCAATAAGTAGAATTTTCGATTTCGTATGTGAACTTTATTGAAAGAAGGACAGAATTGATAAAATTTAGAAAAACGTTAAGATCGTCAAGAGAACCTTGAAAGAGGGATAAGATATTATTTATATAACGGCCCTAGAATTTAATTTTCTCTGTAAACCGAGGATTTGAGAAGATTTTTGTTTTAATATTGTTCATGCAAATTTCTACTAAAAATGGAGAAAGGAAAGATCCCATTTCTAAATCAGTATGTTGTTCATAAGAAGTATTGTTAAAGCTAAAGAAATTCTGTTTCAAAACTGACTCACATAATGTGATCAGATTAAGAATTGGCCCAAGAGGTAAATCTGATTGAAATAAAAGGTCACTAATTAATCTAAGGGAATCGGAAGAGGGAACCGAAGGGAAGAGTTTAGGAACGTCAAAAGAGACAAGGAAAGAACCTGGAGGGATGAGTACACGTTTCAATTTTTCAACTAGTTCAAAATTATTTTTGATGACACATTTGTCTTCAAAATCAGAAAGATAATTTACAAAGGACTACCGATCTAGTGGCGCAATCACGATTATGAATTTTTGGGGATAGAAAAATTCATTGATATGAATCGAAATTTATGTCTATCAAAAAATTTAAGTGTATTGGAAGTATCTTCCAAGGTACAATATACAATAGACATGAAATTAGAGGTGGGATATCGATTGAGTTTATTAATAAAGGAGCCTGTGTTTAGAAAATTACTAACTTTTGTAATATAGTCAACCTTATTAAGAATTATAATGCAATTGCCTTTCCTCATTTTTGATTTTGACTTGTAAAGATTTTATTGACCCTTTTCCTGTAAGCAAAGTGAGTAGAGATTATATAAATTCCAGTGATACAGAGTGAGACAACATCGCGCAGGCGAAGTCAGATTTTTGGAGCGCCAAGTTAAAATTAACCAATGAGCGACTGGTTACGCATGTGTTTCCGGTTGCATTCTGTCAAAGCGGTTTGTCGTCACAGACCTTTGCTCTGTTGCCGGAGTGCCGGATACTATTTCCAACGTGGTTTTGAAGATGCGTGCGCACGAAAAGTCACTACGGAAGTTTTACGATCTTACAGGAAAAGGGTCAATTGGCTGGAGTAAGTTTCAAGTTATTACTATTAATGATTTTATAGTAATTTAAATGTTTAAGTGAGTTTTGTAGGACAGAATTTACTTTCGGAATTACTAAAGGTTTATGTATGGTCAATATTAAGGTGCGTTAGAATGGTTTCGTAATAGACAGCTTGATTATATGCTACATATACATTTTTATTACTAATGTTTTTAGGGGTTTTATATTTAAGTTCTCTTCGAAGGACCTCTAACCTCTAACTCATTGTCCGAAAAACATTTATCAGGAATGTTTTTGACGCGAAGGTGACAAGTTAAATAGGTGTATACGGAGAGATGAGGTTTACGAGTTTTTTTTCTGTTTTTGTACAGTTGGTGTCACTTTTCTTTCTCAAAAGACATTTTAATTATTTTATGTTTGTATGTCTAGAATACTTCAGAGATGTCGCCAATTACAGGTTGTGCAATTACCTTTTCAGTTCTAGAACATTCTTTAGATGTATCTATACATGTTTGGTTCTTTTCATTTCATAGCCAGACTTTGAGGTTGCTGCTAACATCAGCTTTCAAGCTTAATTTATGTACTTAATTATGTAATCACTAAATTTTTGTACTTTGGGTAAATGTATTAACTTTATTGTTTTTTATAAGCTAATTCCTATCCATCATTCAGCTCTGATGATGGTACCAGTAGGTATCGAAACATGTTAGTTCTCACTTTATAATAAAATCTTAATTCTGTAGTGTCGAACCAATTTTCCCATCTTTTTGATCTAATACAAATTGTTATTATTACCATGAAATTATTGCATTATTTTATTAAAAAAAAAAAGAAAAACAACACTTTCTTTAACTGACTTTACACTAAAGTCAGTTAGCTGCGAAGTATTTATAAAACAAAAGGTAAGATTACGAGAAAAAGAATTAAGCAAGCAGAATAATTCTGCCACTAGGTAAGAGGGATAATTTGAGTCGGTTTCTTTTGTCGTTTTGTCGCAGCATCGTGTTTGTCATCATCAAATATTTGTGTTTTTCCACATTGCATCGTGGCAAAGGTAATGGCGCCCAATACACCCCCATCCGCCCCCACTTTCATCCAATATTTATTTACTCGCCTCAGCGATATCGGTTGAAATATCGTGTGTTACAGAAGCCTCGGCGGAAATCATAGGCGCTCCAGATCTGCACGTCCGCGCCGGATCTACCCTGCGCCTCGTCTGTACGATCCTCCACTCCACCGAGACCCCGCTGTACGTGTTCTGGTACCACGACCAAAGGATGATCAATCACGACGCCGGCGTCAAGGTCACCATCGACAGGAGCACCAGCGTCCTGCAGCTGCAGGATGCCGACACGACGCACAGCGGGAACTATACCTGCGATCCCGCAAATGCCGTTCCCGCATATATCAACGTTCATGTCCTTAATGCCACTGAAGGTAACGACTCCTAAAACCACCGATCCTAATGAGTTTCGAGCGGAGAATTACCTAGATGTGCTGGTTTATGCATTAAAACCGGCTAGGAACACGCTAGAGTTTCGTACTGTTTAAACTTTTATTGATGAATGGGATGGAAGCACTGGTGATAAAGTAATTACGAAAGGCTGCATATTATTAATATGTACACTGGATCTTCCCGCATACGGCAGCCTTCATTTTGTAATTGCTTGAATAATGCGATCATTAATGCGTTACGGTTTCAGTCTTCCCGACTACGAGCTTTGGGGATTCGCTCGGAAAATTAAATTCTGCAGTTATTTCTTTCATATCATACAGCGGTGTTTTCAAGGAGTTACACTTTCCCTTATGGAACAAAAACTAATATTAAAATTTTAAAATTCTTGTTTTAGGGTTTAATATTACAGTGTGGAAACTACCTATGGAATAAATTCTATATATATTTTCCCTATTGGTATAATGTGAAAATACAACCTGTCATGTTCACTTTTTTTTTAGAAAACTACCTCCAGTTTTTTTTAACATTGAATTTCGTACATTACTCAAATTTTGATAAGTGAACTGTAACTTTGATTGCGGAGTAAAATTTACTTTAGTAAAAACGTCTTGAACTCGAGGATATGATTCCTTTAATTTATAATATTGTTGTCATTGGCATTGAAAGATATATTTCTAAAAAAAAACTATTAAATATAATTGCTGATCGTATCTTAAATCTTTTAATAAGGAACTAATAGATAGGTATGTGTCGTGATAAAAAGGCTGCTCATTCAGTCTATTTTAAATCTGGAAAATCTGCTGAGTCCACTTTAAAGCGTTAACAAGTCGATGTAAGGATCTTAGTGAATGTCTTTATAACTTGTATCTGGTAAATATAAATAAGTAGTATCACATACAATCCTAAACATTTCTGCAAATTCGTTATTGACAGAAAAAGGTCTCGTGGTATCCCTAATGAAATGAATGTTTCTCAGGAGTTTGCTAAAGGTCGAGAAAATATTTCCAACTTATTTCCTAAATTTTTTTGTCAGTTTATCTTATCGATGACAGTAGCAGCTTTGACTTTAACTTTAACCCCGATGGAGAAGTAAATGATATCGGATTAAATGTAAATCTTGCTGAAATATTTGAATATTTTTCTCAGTTAAAGTCTTCTTGTAATCCTTAACTCGACATAGTGCCTAGTATTCTACTTCGTCTGTTATTTCTGAGAATCAATGGTTTTTATAAGAACAGATCCACATTAACTAATTTGATGGAGTACTACTGATCTCAGTGACGCTTTCTCTCAAAAACAACAAATAGATTCCCTTTACCCAGATTGCTGATTCGATTAGATAAAGTCAATTTTTGTTACTTGTTTTTAAAATGACTAAATTAGGTTTCAGCGGAAGACTATCAGTTGGTTAACGACCGCTTTTATCTAGTAGATCTCAGCAACTTAAAATTGGTAATTATTTGTCTTCTCAATACTTTGCATTTTCTGGTGTATTTCAAGGTTCACACTGTGGATCTGCAATGTTTCAAATTTTCTTTAACGATTTGACATCTGGATTTCAGCACTCAGGACGACTATTCAAATTGTTAATGATGCTTTAGAATTTTAATTAGACCTAAATACTCTGTATAAATGGACAAGTAGCAATTTACTTCCGTTATATTTAAAAAAAAATGTCTGTATGTATAATTTCTTTTTTAAATATCAAATCGGTGTTGTATTTTGATTACCAATTAGGGAACTCGTCAGAAATCAAGGAGTATTTTTATTATATTTTTAACCATGCTGGGGCGTATTTATTTGGCTTCATTGTCGTACTTTGTTTGTTCTCTTAAAACATTTTAATTTTCTATGGTGCAGTTAAATCTTCAGTGTTCTTCTTCTGTTGGTTCTCCATTTTATAGAAAAGAAATCGATCTTTTGGAAAGAGTCCAAAAATTTCTAAAATTGGAGTTCAAACTTAATCGGGTTCATAAAAAAAAGGACTACATGTGGATTATGTACAATTTTAAAATATTGTCATTAGAGGATCAACGCAAAATATATAACGTTTGTTTCCTTCGTGGACTCGATAATGGTTGTTTAAGATAATCTCAACTTATTGAATTAACTTCGAGCACAGAGTAACTACGATTAACAGATCGCAAAATCATCCAATCAAACGTATGATGGAAACAGTTATAATAGAATTGCAGAAAATTCAATATTTTTTTATTTGATTGTGACAGATCTAAATTCAAACCCAGAATTAAGTGGTCCAGTCACTTTCAATTATTTAGGAAAATTTTAGTGAATTGTTTACATTTTGTATTAAGTAGTTTTATTTGTTTTCTTTTGTATTTTCAAACATTAATTTCTTCTATTTGTATATGTCAATAAATTAAATTATATTTAAAAAATATCAAATTTAGAAAAATAATTTGAGATAGAAGATTAATATTTCAAATAATTTCAACCATCTTGAATTCATAAATGAACCAACTATTTCAAAAGGTATTTCGCTTTAGAGTACTCTTTCCCAAAAATTGGTTAGCTACTTTTTAAAAAGTTTGACTGAACTAACTCGAATAACAAGGAAAAAATCTTTCAGTATAACTCACTCATATACAACAAATGAACAGATTAAAGTATGTATATTACAAGCAGTGTCATTTCAGGAATCAAAACATGTTCTACCTCCTAAACCCCCATTAAGATTATCATTATTACAATTGCCAGTTGATTTTTTTGAAAGTTTGGAACCCTAAATCAAAATTAAATCCTTTTTTTAAACAATACTAGGTACAATAATACTTTCCAGGAATTAAAAAAATTATTACGAATACTTTTAGTTATAAATAAGTATATCGAACGTTACCCAACTAAAACGAATGCTAAACTCGTCGTAGGCTCAAGGCTTTATAAAAAATGCTGCCTAATTTTGTTTTAATTTCGTAAACATAGTCCAGGACTTCATCTTCATTTAAAAAAACGTACAATTTCATCGAATATGTTTGGCACATACTTTTTAACTTGACAACGAGTCTCGGTTTGTTCGCAGAGAAATAGTTTCCTTCTGATAGTCGTTCGCTGAAAAACGTTTTTTCAGCCTCTAAACAATAAAATCCAACGACTTTTAACTCGTGTCAAGTACGTCGAATCGAAGACGTTCTCGTTGCTTGAGGGTTTTAGGAAAACTTTATGGTGGTAAAGCATTTTTTAGTAAGTAACGTAAAAGTTTGCATCAGAGGTTGGGCGAAACTATTTAAAATTTAATTCAAGGAAGGGTAGATTGCTCCTTTCCATATGAAATAATAAAGAATTTAAAAAAGCTTCAGAAATAGAGTCATCGGATTCAAAATTGAGAACATTTGCTGCAAACTACGAAGCAGTTCTACTCCAACCATTACATTTCTGATAACCGTAAGTCTGATATGATTTACCTAGCAATTCTAGCAACGACGCGGAAGTTGCATATTTTATGTAAATTTCCAATAATCTGATTTTCAGTTTAAACGATTATCACATTTATTTATTTCGAAATATATATTTTGTCGGGCCCGCATTTCTTGCAAATCGCCGATAGCTCGAAAAGTAAAATCAGTATTTACGTTTCTTTAAAATAATCAACTGTGTTGCGTGATGCTTAGAAGGTAATAAATTTGGAAATTTATATTCATACAGAACTGACGAATTCATGAGACGAATTATACAGTTCTTGTCCAAAAATGGACTCAACTTCATTATTTCCCGTTTTTACCGATGTGTATCTGATTTGTTAAATCACATACTTCAGTTTCAACTTCGTCGCAATCCAAAATAAGTATTTTTACACGAAGTGCTGTTACTCACGGTTCCAAACAAAATTACATTTTTTTTTTCATTGAATTGAATGTTTGAGTGTTATATTATCGAAGTACTTTGAACTCAAATTGTCGAATTTAAATAGTGAGGGTACAATAAATCTGCCATTATTATCGCTTGCGAACATTTCCGAGAATTCCTGTTTGCAGGACAATTCTCGACCGAATGAGGATTAAAATTTATGGTAGGTCCTTGAAGTTCCTAAAACTTGCCAATTTCGGCCTGTAAATTTAAATCTGCCAGAGCGGGAATGGACCACTGACCAACAAAATTTTATTGTTACTGGATTTGTTAAAGGTTTTACCACGAAAACCTAGGCTGATTTTAATGTCTTTTATAATAATATTAATAATAAACGTGACTCTTGAGAAGTATTGGCTGTGCTTCAGCGGCGAGGGAAGTTTTGTGCTTAAATAAGTTTAAACATTTTTTGGCCTGAATACATTATTCTTAAGACACCTGCTGTGTTATTATGTTATCAAACAGCTATCCTCAATTTAGTATCACACAGAGCGGGTAATGAAGTTCAACTGTACTACCAAGATTGCAATCTAGCCAGAGTAGAGTATTTAATGTAAATGCAAGTAGAACATACGCGCGTTAACCAGATCAGAAATATGTCTTTCAAGCAGTAAGTTCAATACTGTTTCTCATATATTAACTTTGACTATTATGAATAAGTAACGAAGTGTGTTATGGTACTGACGTCAGTCATAATTCTTTCTACCAGTGGTAAGTTTAAAAAATTTAAGGTTTAACTGTACGTGTAGAAATGAAATTTCTTGCGAGTGGAACATATTTCATTCAATAGTGTTTATTTCTTGTTTAAAAAATTTATCAATTCACTAATGTGGGTGGATATTACTCTGTTAGACGACTGGAGTGAAACTTCTGACAACTTTGAGAATTCAGTTTTTCAATAATCAAGTCAACGATGAAAGCATCCCACTAGTAACCTTTGAACTTTTATATGAGCAGTCGTGTCACTTGTTTCATCGGTTGTTAGTTGTCTGAGTGTTACATTATTGGTGTTTAAGATATCTGGATCATTAGCTCTAGCTGAAACTGGCAATTATTCGAGCATTATTGTATCGTTCTTTTAACAAATTGTTACTGCATAATATTCAGCAATAATTGTAAAAGTTGCCACAGGAGAGAGTAGTCTGAATTAAATTTTTGGCTATTATTTAAAGTGTGTTGTTAATAAGTGGAAGGAAATTTTTAGTATGAACAAAGCAAATTTAAAGCTGATAATTTAACTGCCGATTCAAATGTTGATTGCCTTCTGCTGTTTTCAGTGTTGTGGTTTCCGGGATCGCTTGGTTTAGCAAAAAGTGGTTTTATGAATTGTTTAATTGTTGGTTACTGCATTAAAATAGTCCATTCCTGTAGGTAAATTTTCTTTATTATGCAGGTCAGGGTTTGTAATTTTATCTTGTAATTCAACGCCTAATGTGATTCTCGGCTAGAAACCAACTTTGTTTTCAGCTTTTTTAAATACGTTGAAAAATGTTTCTATTTGTGTAATTTTGCTGCTTATAGTGTCGCATTCTTTGGACATTAAGCTCCGGTATTTTTCTATTTTATACTCTTAATGACTATTGTTGCCGGTTCCGTAGACGTGGTTGAACACTGGTTGTATTTGTTATTCGAATAACTCGCGTATGTTTTTAACGACAAAATTCGTTGCACTTGTTATCATCCGGTTCAAAGGACTAAATGTGACTTAGTGCCTTGTGGAAATAAATTCACTTTTTCATTTTAAACTCCTAAATTCAATTTTTTTTATTAAGTACTCACAATATTTATTAATTCCTCCATATGCATGACATTTGTACTCAAGTGATCAGTCAAATAGCCTCGAATTTACGACATACAGAGGAAAATAAGGTAAAATTAACAATAATTCCTTTTTTATTTTATTAAAACTGGTGCTTTAGTCTACACTGGTCGATATCTAGTATTGTTTGAATAGGATTTTTTTAATTTTTTGTTTGATTATGTGACACGGACATCTTTAAATCTTCTTAGTGACCCATACACACAGAGACTGACAAAAAAGAAATTCGTTGGAAAATTAGTAATTATTATAGTTGTGGGACAATATATTTTAAACATTTTGTGCACACTTTTATTTTTTAAAACGTTTTCAAAAAATTTGTATTGTATCAAACTGAGGTCTTAATATACTTCTCATGTTTAGATATGTGGTTTCTATTTTAATTTGCTTACAACTAATTCGCCATAAGATCTCATGGATAAGCGCAAAGCAGCTCCAAAATTCAAATAGTTATTGTTTAAATGTAAAACGAAATATCTAAAATTCTCTACGTTGGAGAGAGCGTGTCTATTTTTTATAAGTGACGTAACAATAAGCTAAAGTATTTTAATAAAGAAATATATTATTTAAGTGCGATCAATAAACAACCTTCTGAAGTTGGCGCTAAACGAGTAATCTATCTTTCTCATCGTCTACTATTCACAACAAAAAATCCAAAAGATAGCTAAAAATCCAGCGTCAACTAGAGGATGATTTTTGTCGATCGTACGTTAGATATTTACATTACGGATAAGGCCATGAATGTGGATAAACCTAGCTTTACCCGGCAACTTTGAGTAACGAAAGAAATAAAACAAAATGCCGGAGTTTACCCGAACAGAGTGCTGAGTACCGACACGTCTTCGGGTAAAAGTAAGGTATTTGGGTTGTGAAAGTTTCGAACATGTGTAGAAGCATATCACTTTACAAAATACTCGGTCATACGAATAAAACTGGAAGATATGTTTACTAAATTTCCCAATTTACCCGTCACATGTAAGATGAAATCAAACGAAAACGTCCTCAAGTTGGCAGTAAACAAGCAAGCAATGAAAAGGATACAAAAATCCACCTCTAACTATAAGTTGATTTTTCGTATTTTAGTTGATCCCACGTTATTATGAGTGTTCCGTTCATCGGTTACCTGAAATTGTACGTGGCGTTTGTAATTTAATTCAACAGGTGGTGGATCCTTAATAAAAAGCCTTTAATATTTAATTTACATGAATTATCAGTCAAACAATTTGATAATTATATATAACTATTCTCACACATGCAACGTGGATTGTAGTCTTTAATAAAAATGTCAAGGAAAATATTACCCCGGGATTGTGTTATTTTTTTCAGGAAATCAGAAATCACTTGAGTGTTGTTGCCGAAGCGTAACAATGTACTTCATTATTAACAAGATATTATTTTAAATTCGTGATCTCATTAAGTCGATTTGCTGATATTTTTTGGACGCCTCAACAATTAAGGCAGAAGACTATTTTTCTTACAAAGTTATATTTCCGATGTTCATTGGTTTTTTTATATTAACTCAGGACTTTTAGAGTTAACTTTATCAATTTAGCTTCTTGTGAAGTGGACTTTTACCAGGACTTTCGAGAAGGAATATGTTCTGATAACTTGAAAATTTTGGTAACTTCTCCTGGACTACAGATGTTGTTCTAAAAAATCAACGATTTCTATGAATTGACAAAAAAATACATACATATATTTATCAGTAAATATTTGCTACCCTGATATTTTCAGTACGTTTTTTTTAAGATCATTTTATTCTTATTTTATACACAATTGAAGTTTGTAGCGGCCGGCAACTTGGTACCGGAAAGATTTAAATTTTTACGGTATACTGAAAATTGATTAAAAATAACTTCTTAAATTTTTATGTAGGTATAAAAATAAAATTCCAAAAATACGTCTCTGCATATATTGATATTTATTTTATATCTTATTACATAAAAAAATCTAAAGTTATTCTTTAATAGCTCTATTAAATGTAGTATGTACAGGATCTGTCCACCACTAGCCAACTAGGACACGTACGGAAGTTTCTTGTTTCTTCAACACTAACTTCTTTATTGAGTTAACCTTCAATTTTATGTGTTATTTTAATGTTTTATAATCTTATTGTGTTGAAGACGCTCACTTGTAATTTAATTTCTTATAACGATCTTTCACTACATTCCAGACCTTTTCGTAGGTGGTCAAGTTAAGTGGAGATCATTTTCTTCATTAGTAAATTAATGAATTCAATATTACCGATTAAATCGCAAACGCACGCCAACGACAGTACATAATATTTCAAAGTGTAGAATATTATCGACTAACCTTTAACCTTCCTCCACAATTTATTCCCTTTAAAATTTCATATAGCAATCAGTACCAAACTACGACCGTATATTACAATTATTCGTCAGAAATAGTGCAATGGAGGAGTGGATTGCTTCCGATTTCTGTAAAAATGAAGTAGTTTAGAATTTTAATTCGTAAAGAGATATTGCTAGTGTGAGAGATGTCCAAATCCAGTTATAATTTTTATCTAGTTTTCTCCATAGAATTTATTCCATGTTTTGTAAATCCACTGCAAAAGTCTAGACTTTGCTATAAGTAAGTTAACACTAAAAAAATATTCATGATATGTAAAAGAGACGTACAAAACTGGATTTATTTTAAATACCCTCCTATTTTATTGTACTATGTCCTCGACGACAATAGTGCCAATTACCGCAAACTTACTTTTTTGATTTCAGAAGAGAACCCAGCAGCGATGTTACATGCAAGCAGCAGCGGAGTTTCCACAGCGCTTTTTATGACTATAATATTAATTGTTGCTATTCATGTAACTTTATCATTAAATAGTTGACTTTCTTCAACGTATTTGTATAAATTGTAAATATTTTGTATATAATTATTTGAGAAATATCCGTGACTGTAACTACTTTAGATTGATTCAAATCAAGAAAAGAATTCCGATTAAAAATGTAGCATATTTAATTTCGTCGTACATATTACTGTATTTATTGTGTGTTAAAATAAAGTGAATAAGGATCAAACAGTGTTTTAATGTTGCATTAAATTCAAATATATTTTTTCAGACGAAAAATCTTGTTTTGATTAAATTTTGCGTGACCTAAATCTGTTGTTTATCGTTATCCAGTTGCAAAAACATAAACAATGCCAACGTTGGTATCTCTTTATTCTGTGATACAAAACACAATATTTTTAACAATAACATCGTTAAGAATTGTGATGGGTTTTTTCATGAACTTTTGACGCCAAATCAATTATGCAAACAAACGTTTATTTTTTAACAATTAATTTGAACAAACTGTGTTAAATAAAAACAAATTAGTAAGTAGTGGTGGTTTGAGAGATATATAGCAAAAATAAAATCAACGAAACAGACACATTTAAGTATGTACAGGATGTTCCTTATACATAATTTGTAAAAGTTTGACTACTTTTTCTTATGACTTCTTCATTTATCTGTAAGTATTTTATTATTGATCGTTGAATTTTTTTTCGTTTGAATTTAATGGAAAAATAATTACTACACCTGAAGCACTAGCATGTTCATTGTTCATGATCTTTATGGTAGTAGGCATTACGTGAAGTATGAAAAAGCGACGTGATTGTTAAAGCACGCGAACTGTTACTATAAATTTCTTGTTTCTCTACTGCAGACGAAAAAATAATTAACACTGTACTATATTATTTTTAGAAAAAAAATCCTTCTTGTTTTGTTTTCTTTGCTTGCTTAATTTTCAACTACATGTTTTATTTTTTGGCGATACAGGTGGACACGCTGCTGTATTGATGGAAATGTAAACACTGAGGTAAGTTTTATACTAAGTAGGACAACTTTAGACAATTTTAGTATTGATCTAAAATTTATAAAATCGTGTCTGTTCTATTTTGGGCTCGTTCTAATTTATTATGTTATTTAGAAGAGCGTCTGCCTTTTTGGGATATACAAATTCAATGTCGTAGTATGTCAATACGGCGCCACTGTTTTGTATTTAAATAGCCAAGGGTGAGGCGGATATAAGGTCTTATATGGAAGTCTTTACTGCCACTGTGGAGCTTTTATTAAGCGTTATAGTTCTGAACCACTTGAGAGCACAGCTGATACCCGATAAACTTTAATATTGTTTGAAATATCCCTTTTTCTGAAATAATGCATATTTGATGTTCGGCCGCCTGAACCACATCCACATCCATTCGACCACATCATTATTTTCTGTTCAATAAATTATTTCAACAAATGTGGCTTAATGATCCGGTATAAATTGAAACGTAATTGAATGATAGACACGTTTTACTGTGTGACCATCTATTTAATAATAGATACAAATTGTTTGGAAACAGGAAACCTGTTATATAAACTAGTTTTTATTAAATCGTAGAAAAAAGAATTAGAAAATAATTTAGATAATATAGGAAAATATGTTTGTTCCGACCAGTAACGCAAGTTACTGTAAGTAAACCAAGTAAGTTAAGTGACTTAAAAAAAAATAGCAAATGCCTACCCGTCTACCTGGTTGCCCTAGCTCACGCGCTGGTTAAATATCGATTTTATGGAAAAAGCAATAAAGCAATAATGCTTCAAATACTCCAACCACGACCGACTGAAGAATTGAGTTTTATGTTAAAGGAGAATAAGAAAACGATAAGATATTGCTAAAAGCAAACATTCTTTCGAGAGGATTGTTAAGAAAAATGATTTTAACTGAAAAAAAAGAATTTGTGACTTTTGTAAGAACTGACTGTTTAAAAGCTGTTTCCCGTTAATATAATTTTACTAACCAAAAAACTGATTAATGTTTTTTATTATTTAAAGTTATTGTGGCTGTTGACTGACCGCATCTTGTAATCCTTTTGTTCAGGGTTCTTTAACTTGGTAACTTGTTGGAGTGCCCTTGGTCTACAAAAATTGACATAAAACTTCTGTTCTCGAGGTTTCAATGTTCTTACTTATGGCCTGCTTTTCTTAATATTCAGTTTATAAGTTATAACCAGCGTATTAATTCAACTAAAATTTAAAGTTGTATTTTCTTGAAATATTCGTTGCTAAAATAACTGAATATTAAAGGCAGCGAATAATTTTCGTCGTCACCTTTATATAAAATTCACATGCAATTGTACTCCACAATTAATATTTTATTTTAATATTTTACAATTCGAGTTTTATTTTGTTATAACTACTGCACCTGCTCTTAGTATCTCTTTGGGTTGAAAAGGAAATATTTATTAACCTTATTTGTCAGTTTTTGTAAATCTCGCAATACATTTTTTATAGAAACTATAATAATCTTTAGTTCTTAACAACCAGACTGACTATAGTACAGTATGTAGGTACTTTTTTTTGAAAATTTATTATAATATCAACGTTAAAGAAAGAGTAGATTTTGATATAGTGCTATACGCAGAAAAAATGTTTTATTAATTTGCTATATTAAAGTGACTATTACCTAAAGAAAACTTCGAGCTTCAAGGTATGTCAAAGTTACTTAAAAGATTGGTTAAGAAGAAGTGGTCACAGAGAAATTAATAAGACCAAGATTCGATACACCTAATATTCACGAGATTGCAGGGGTCTTTTTATTTTTTGATCAAAACTCCTTGTTTGTAAGTTTCTAAAAGTCTTGATATTGTGGTTTGCGATTCAGTGTTGTTATTTTTAAATGTTTGAAGACCTTGGACTAATTCCTTGTTTATTCCACTAGAAGTATTTTTTTTTGCGAGCAGCTAACTCTGACAAAATGGGGTCATTATTCTCTGATATGTGAATTCTAAGCCGCCCTGTATATCCCGAAATCTTCTCCACTGTGAGTCATTTCTAACAATATGCTAATAAATTCAAAATAAATTGTGAGTAATTGATGTAAATGAAATGGGGCAACACCCGTCAACATGTCAATAATTCATAGTTCTGGCGGTTGTAACATGAAGTGCCGTGCTTTATGACACCCTATTTGTTCAGCCATTAGACCCACAATAAAGCTCTAATGTGTGTGTCTGTGGTGAACATCACGATCGAATTTCGACTGGGGCGCGAGGAAACCGCCACTTCATCCACCACCAAGGGAAACAAACAGATGGCCGAAAAATTAGCTCCGGTTTATTGGACGAATGATTCATCGCCATATTTTCTGTATTTCAACTTTAGCCCTGTAATTAGCGTCAACATTTATTTGTAAACGAAATTTATGACCTGTGAAGATATCTAATTCCTTTGTGATGTGTCAATGTTAATATGTTACATATAGGAATAAAGAGTTTCGCTTTTCGTTTGCGGTTCCATTCCAACGTTTGATGCAATGACCATATTTTACATTTTGTTTGGGCTCAGCAAACCATTTATTTTAGATTAATATCTAATACAAAAGTTTGTAAGTACTTTTATAAACCTATCTATTATTACTATTTTTTAATCCAGAAAAAAAAACGATCGAAATCAATAATAAAGGGACTTTTTCAGAAGCCATTTTTGTAACAAAACATGATGTGCTTCTTTTTTCACAAACCATAGGACTGTCTACCAAAAAATAATCTCTATTGAAGGCGATAAAAAAGAACATATCGTGTGATAAGAACATAACACACAATTGGACAGTGCTACAAAAATTAGTTTTCATAAAACCTTTCACTTTTTATGACCAGGAATAAAACGATCAAACGTTTTCAAAGATTAAAGTTATAGACTAAATACAGTTCTATGGGTCTTATCAAAGAGCAGAAATCTTAGTTTTTTAAATAAAATGTTTACATCTCCTAATTGGGCTTTGCTTGGGTTTTACAAGCGTATACCTTATTTGAACTGAACCAGAACCCCCATCACTTTCAGTCGACCTACCCTGGAAATAGCACAGTGAAAAATTTACCTTGGAAAAAATTTAGTTTGCACCATGTGGGATCGGCGAACCGTGATGGCGAATCTGGCTTAGGTCAAATGAGATTAAATTGAGCTGGACTAGAACCCCCAACATACAACTATTGACATAATATAGTAATTAACAAGATATCAAAGAGCTCGCACTTAATGACACATCTTGTATATACTTCACAATATCTATCACATTTTATCAGGTGTAGTAAATTCTTAATATGTAGGAATAAGATTCACAGGAGTGACTTTGTTATTCTTAAAACAAAATATGCACCAAGTGCTTTGACGGCAACGAAAAACAATTCGTGTAAACAAGGTACCAATATTTATACATGGAAATAGAGGGACAGAGATATACATCTCTATGCCCTTTACCGTTCCTCCTTCTGTCCAGTGTTCCATTTACATCTAAATTCCCGGTATCGGACTGAAGTATCGTAAGGCATGGCCTATGTATTGGCCTAAGTAAAGTTCTCGTACTCCATGAAAATTTACATTTAGTTCGAACTTACGAACTAGTATAGGTAATTTTAGCCTTTCGGTTGGTACATTGTAGTGATTAATAAAGACAAGATTTTGGCATTTTGTGCACATGACAAAATCGATATTAGTTAATGTAGTAATGTTTAAAAAAAGTTGTTTTGGCACATTTTATTGAAGATTTATGCAGCTGAGTTCTGTTTATTGCCTTACTCTTTCTTGGAATTTGTAACAGCACACATTTGTAATAAATAACACGTAACGTGTGGAACATAGGTATGAAACTCCAATCTGGTATTAATTTACACAATAACACTTAAACTGTGTTGATAAAATTTAACAAGTATTAAAAGGGAATAAATTTTTTACGACTCGCTGACATTAAAAATTTTAGAATTTTATATGAGAAAACTATGTTAACGCATAATTTAATTTTAAATATAGTTAAATTATGTAAGAATATTAATCCAGGCAACATGATAATTTTTAATATTTGCTGATATTGCAAAATTGGTTCACGACTTATTAGTTTAGCGATGGTCGTGTAAACAACTGCTTGTAAAGATGAAAAATTTGTAATTTTTCTTAATTTTCAATACTCAATAACATTTTATTTTAAGCCACTCCTGATCGTTTTTGTAAAACTTGTCAAAAAATCGAAAGTCCACAAATTTCTTCTTTCAT